GTGCCAAATATTTGTGGCTGGGAGTTCCATGAAGACGGGACCACCACTTAAAAAAAAAAGGCGAACGTCGTTTCAATGCATGTTTTGTAGCTCTCTGTGATCTTGTAGAGTAATATGAAGCAAAAGTCTTACTTGCTGGCAGTAAAAAAAAAAAAGCGTAAAGCATAATGTATTGCAATGCACATTAGTGCTGCTCAGTTGACTCTAATGCACTGTGAAGAAAGAGACCATTTTTCCTCCAGAGAGAGATTGAAGGGATTGAAGGGATTAAAGGGAGTCTGGATATTTTTTTTTCTAGTGTGAAGGGTGTAAAGATAACCTCCGCATAATGTTTGAACCCCAAGTGTCCTTCGCTAACCTCTGTCATATTTGGGTAGGCTCCAGTAACGCCCTTAGTGTGGGAGGGCCAAAACAATCAGTTGTTGTCTCAGGACTCTGCCATGGTTGAAGCTTTTCTCTGGATGACGAGAGGAAATGCTTCACACCTTTCTTTGAATGTAATGATGTCTGTCCCACCTTGAGCGGTACAAATCCTTCCAAAATAACCTGCAGGGAAAAGTCAAATGACCAAGAACGACACTTTCTCAAAAGGCAGCTGGTGCCAAATCATATTTTGTTTGGGTTGGGGCAGGGCAGGGGTGGGGATGCTGTGATATCTATTTCATATTTCAAGCCTAATAAAAACAACTCACCCCCAGCAGCTTATGAAAATTTAAACCAGTGCTTTTCAAACTGGGCAACTTTAAGCTGGCTGGGGAATTCTGGAAGTTGAAGTCCACCCATCTTAAAATTGCCCAGTTTGAAAAGCACTGGTTTGAACCAAGAACAATCATGGAAATCCAGTAAAAGCAATCTTGGTGTCCCTTCCCCGCTTGGGACTGTTTTATCCGTGAAAAGCAGGATAGAGATTTTTTTTTTTAGAAATCATCCGATAAAGAAACGGTGAGCAGTCCGGGGAGGTAGGCGAATATCTGTTTCCCTCACTCTCCCATCCCCACCCTCAAGGGGGAGGGTTGAGGGAGGTTGGGCACTAAAGAGGATCAAAGCAGGATTCCTGTTAAAAGGCCAAGATGGGTTTCCTAGGCCCAGTATATCAAAGTGGGATTTAGACTCTCTGGACTGTGGATATTTGCTTCTTTGTGTTCTTCAGCATGTAAGCTCCTGCATGCAGCTGGTAAATATTACTGTGTTCTTGAGTTGGAGGATGGTTCAGCCTGTGAAACTGTGTGGCCTTGGGTTGTTCTCCTGGTGTTTTCCAGTTCCATAAATAAAAGTGGTTTGTCTTGTTACGGACGCCTGGCTGTTCTTCGTGCCCTTCTCTTGTTCATTATGGAGACCTCTGTGTAGCTCCACCAGTCCAAACCATTGAAAGTTCAGAGAGAAGCACTAGAGAAGCAACTGAAGATCTCAGTCTTCCAGTGTTCTCTTCCAGCAGCATCCGAATTGATACTCCAGGAAGAATGGACAAGCAGTTATGGAGAACTGGTTTTCAGGTCTCTTCTGTGGAGGTCCTCACTGTGCCTTCTAGATGTGTTGGGTACCCATTTCTGTAACTCCCAGCCAACATAGCTAAAAGGTTATTTGGGGCTTACAAGAATCAAGTTCCCAGTGGAGGGCACTTGGTTGGAGAAAGCTGCTTAGCTAATGTGTTAGGTCAGCTTATTGAAGGACTTGCTTTTCATTTTAGAAAAATGTTAGAACAGTCTGCAAAGTCCTGAGCAAGTTTAAAATTCATATTTCAGCCTGGCAGTGAGCTGTTTGTTTTGACCTGTTCTTAACCACTTGGGAATTTCTTTGAGGAATCTCTCCAGACCCATCTGAACTATGGGAGATTGGGGGGATGAGTAACTAGCTTCGTGTGGCACATAATATGCTGCTAACTTTGGGCAGGTGACTAAACAGTTGCTATATAATTGAACCAGTCTCCCAACCAGCATGGAAATCAAGAGGAAATTGTTTTGTGCTAACTCTTAGCTATTGCTTTCAAAGTGACAGCTCCAGCTGAGGACATCTAAAGCAAATTCTTGGACTAGAACTTTTTTCACCCTTGATTATTGGTTTCTACTGGCCAGTGGGAGTTGGATTGCAAAGTTTCTTGCCGTACCTCTGAAATACAAGTATGATAGAGCATCAGGGATTCTGATTCTCAATTTTTGCCAGAGCCAAAGTATTTCTTGACAGTTGGGCGAAGTTTGTTTATTATTAAATTTATATGCTGCCCATCTCCCCCAGAGGGTGACTCTGGGGGGCTTACAATTAAAAACCAAGACAATAAGAATAAAATATAAATACCCCCCAATTAAAATCACAAGTAACAAATCTATAAAGCAGTATGCAATTCAAGGCGATGGGGGAAGCAATATCAATCATCTCACCAGCCAGTTCCAGCGATGCAAGCCCCCATCAGGCCCCCAGGCCATCTGGCATAACCATGTTTTTACACCACCTCGGAAGGCCAGGAGGGTGGGGGCAGCCCGCACCTCAGCTGGCAAGCTCTTCCACGGGGCTGGGGCCATAGCAGAAAAGGCCCTCTTCCTAGACTCGGCAGCCGAAATTCCTTGACTGGTGGGGTCTGCAGGACTGAGTGGGGCAGGCAGATATATCGGGCGAGATGGCTCCTCAGAAAGTTGGGAAGCCAACTGATTCCTTCAAATTGTTGGATGGGGAAAGAACCCATATTGGTTTCTCATTGAAGTTGGTGTGGGGAGTGCCCTGTTCTTCAGCCTGAACAGGGAAAACTAGAATATACATATACAGCTGCTGCTGCTTGCAGAGAAGGTGGCAGCTGTGGCTGGGAGAGCCTTTGCACAACTTTTGTGGGCCAACTGTGCCCATTCCTGGATCAAGAGACTGCTTACCATTGCCCATGCCTTAGTCACCTGGCTGGGTTACTGCAGTGCGCCCTACGTGGCGTTGTCCCTGAAGACCTTCCAGAAGCTACAATTGGTCCAGAATACAGCAGCACAGATAGTTATGGGCACACCTGGGATGCCCATGTAACACAACTCCATAAGCTGCATTGGCTTCCAAGTGCAATTCAAGGGGCTGGTTATCACCTATAAATCACACATGGCACAGGACTGGGTTACTTGTGGGATCACCTCTCCCCAACTTGCTCTAAGTCCCTTCTCTGAAACAATGCCATCTGATGAGACCCAGGAGGTGTGGCTTCTTGTGGCACTTGCCCTCTGGACCGATCTCCACCCCCAGACCTCAACCCCCAATAGCCTTTAGGAAGGCATTACAAATCTGCTGTTGAAGCAGAGAGCAAAATTTAGAAGTCCTAAGAATACCATGCAAGGAGGAGGAATTGCAAACAACCTATTCTGGCTTTTTCCACCAGCGCTGGGGCTGGGAAGACTGGAGTCCCCGTCTGGATGAGGGTAACAACTGCAAGTTTCTGATTGCCCATCAAGGCTTTGGCTTCATTTTAACTTAACTGCCTATTTGCTTTTGGTGTTATTGTAAGTCCCCCAGAGTTGCAGTGTTTCAGTTGGGCAGCCAAACACATGTCTTAAATAAACACATACACAGTAAATCTTCACAGTTTGTGCCTTGGCACAACGAAGCCAGAGAAAAAGGACTGTTGACATTCAGCTTATTCTGGCGATTTAGTTGGCCGTGAATGCCTCCATCTTGAGCTCTGAGCCCTTAATAGCATGGTGGGGAAGGGAGCCCAGCTAATCATAGTTCTGTTTATGCAGGAATGAAAGAAGCATGGGGGGGGGGTCCTTTTCCAATTTCTGTGAGAGGACAGCTGAAACTGCCTCAGGAAGACCCTCTAGGCAAGATGGGGGACCTGGTGACCCCAGGTGGCTCGGAGTACAGTATTTGTTTGTCGGAGGGTGGGTCAGAATAGGAGCTGATATATACACACACAGCCAGTAGTTAAGCAAACGAGGGAGTTTATTCTGGACACTGTGATACCTATACTAATGAAGTGGTGTGATCTAAAAATAACATACAAATGAAAGTATTATTTACAAAACCAGTATATTGTCCTATGTAGGTACAGAATAAAGTTAATATAAGAAATCAAAGGTTAGCTTACTTCATCTTCCTCCTCCTCACGTTTCTTTCTTTCACTTTCCACTATAACAGTTTCTTCTCCCGCTCCTTAATCTCAATTACTGACCCTGGAACCTCTATGAGTTTTCTCCCAGCTGACAAAGTTCCTGTAACTCGCAAGGTTCCACTGTCCCACATCTGAATCTCCGTACACAAAACCCAGTCCGTGCTCCTGGTCTTTCCACACACTCTCAAGCTGCTCCAGGCTATTCCTCCTGATCTTCTCGCACACCTGAGTTGATTTTCTGCCACATCTGGGCAGTTTCTCCACTCCACATTAGCCAGGTGACCTCTCTCCAGCAGCATCTGAAATATAATCCCCCCACACACTGCTTTTCTTTTCTCTTTTTATATTTTATATCATGGACATGCCGCTTTATGGGTGCGTTCTAGCATTGTCCTCTTTTCTGCCTACCTGCTTCTGGTCTTGTGCTGAGTTATTTGCCTTCCCTAAAAGCCCAAAACCTTGGCACAAACCTGGACCCTTTCCTCCAGCTGGGCACTTCACCCTGCCACACCACTGACCGCAGCAAGGACCCAAGGCAAAAAGTGGACATAAGGATATAAGGT